CCCCGGCCTCCAGCAGCATTCTGCCGGCCAAAAACCCTAACCCTAATCCTAACCCTATACCATTTCAGATATAGGCTGCTGCACACTGCTGGCTCATGTTTAATTGATATAGTGACATGGCGCTCCCATGTAACACCTCTCCTGCGTGAGCTGCACTGGCTCCCGGTGGTCTCCCGGGTGCGCTTCAAGGTATTGGTTACCACCTTTAGAGTGCTCCATGGCTTAGGATCTGGGTACCTACGAGACCACCTTCTGCCACCCGTAGCCTCTCACCGGCCAGTACGCTCCCACAGAGAGGGGCTCCTCAGGGTGCCGTCGGTCAAACAGTGTCGACTGGCGGCCCCCAGGGGGAGAGCCTACTCTGTGGGGGCACCTGCCCTTGGGAACGAGCTCCCCCCAGAGATACGGAGGATCCCGGATTTACGCACTTTCCGCCGTGCCCTCAAGACTTTTTTATTCCAACAAGCGGGGCTGGCCTAACTCTATTTAATTGCTTAATTTTAATTTACTTTTAAAAAAGGAGTGTTTTAATTCGTATGGGCCAAATTTGTTTAATATGTTTTTTAAAAAATTTGAAATTTTATATTGTATGTGTTTTATCTTTGGCTGTTCACCGCCCTGAGTCCTTCGGGAGAAGGACGGTATATAAATCCAAACCTAAAACCTAATTGATGGATGCACAATCACTGGAGGTTTTTAAGAAGAGATTCGACAACGATATGTCTGAAATGGTAAGACGGTTTCCTGCCTGAGCAGGAGGTTGGACTAGAACAGGGGTCACCAACCTTTCAGACCACAGGGACCACTAAATTCATAATTTAAAGACCGCAGACCACTAATATGATCTGCCTAATGACCGGCTGGGTGGTCGTGGCCAACTTGATGTCACTAACATTGAGGGGCATCTTGCCAGCCTCCCACAAAAAGACCCCGAAGGGGGAGACTCTCTGCAGCAACACAAACATTCATTGCACGTATCCAGCCCAGGGGCCATAGATTGAGGACTCCTAATTTAGTGCAATATAAAAAATGCAAATAAATTTTCTGCGGACGATCAAATTTTTCTTGTGGACCACCAGTTGGTGACCGATGGACTAGAAGACCTCCAAGATCCCTTCCAACTCTGTTATTCTATTCTTTTGCGTCTGTTCGCTTATGTCAAAAGAAATCTAGCAGAGCTAATGGGATCATGGAAGGCAGGGTACTAGCTAGGAGAGTGATGGTTAATCTTTTTGCCGTCGCGTGCCAAAAGCGGGGGGAGCATGGAGGGGTCGCGCACATGTGTGTCCACACCCATAATTCAATGCGCCCCGTCCCCGCGCACATGACCCCTCCGCGCTCCCCCCACTTTTGGCATGTAATGGCCCAGTGGGCTCGGTAGGCCCATTTTTTGCCCTCCCCAGAGCCTTTCTTGGAGCCTGGGGAGGACAAAAACGGCCTTCCCCATGCCCCCGGAGGCCGGAAACAGCCTATTTCCCAACTTCCTGTGGGCCCAGAAGGCCTGAAAATCAGCTGGCTGGCACATGCATGCATGCTGGAGCTGAGCTAGGGCAACACTCACGTGCCCACCGATATGGCTCCGCGTGCCACCTGTGGCACGCGTGCCATAGGTTCGCCATCACGGAGCTAGGAGAAACTGAGCGGAGCTAATGGGGGAACATAGAAGGGACCAGCTGGAGCTAATGAGAGTCAGGGAAGACAGGGGGCTAGTAGCAAAGCTAATGGGGCAGGGAAGGCAAGGGGCTAGCGAGGAGAAATTGTTGACTAAATCTGGGTCTCAGCTCGTGCCCCGCATGCACTATTAAGCAATCCGGGACAGGAAAATCATTTAATTAAGATTTATTGGGAACGTTCCAGTTCAAAAGCATTTGGTCCTCCAGAGAGGGAACCTGGAACTCAAAAGTTACAATCTTTTGTAGTTTAACTCATCAAAGATAAGTACAAAGGCCTAAGCCAACCAGACACCAAAAAAACCCCTAACCCAGGTTAAAACTTATCAATAAGAGTCCATGGCACCCTTAAGTACAAAGGAAAGTTTATTAACATCCTGCTCCTTTTACATAGACAGTCAGTTATATAAGCGAAACAGAACAGCTGAATAGCAGAATAACAGAGTTGGAAGGGACCTTGGAGGTCTTCTAGTCCAACCCCCTGCTCGAGCAGGAGACCCCATACCAGAGATGGCGAACTTTTTCAGCACAGAGTGCCAAAAAGGGAGCTCACGGGCAGTGCCAAGTTCCGAAAAGGAGCACTTCGTCAGGGCCGCAACCAGGAAGCGGAGCAGCCCAGGGAGCATGAGCAGATCGGATAAGGTACTTCTGGGTTGCGGTGCACGCATGCGCACCGGCGAGCATGTTGTCAAGTTTTCGAGGTCGTCTCAAATAAATTGCATTTCAAACAAAGTCTTTGAAGGAAAACTCCTATTTATTAAGCATGACATTCTAGACCCGACTCCATCGAAGCCAACACTGACTTCCAGACCCAAAACCCTCCCTTTCCGTTCCCCACTCCCCTGCACTCATTGGCCATCTTCCAAGTCATTCTACCCCTAATCTACTGCTCCAGCTCAAAGGAATTTCCCCCCTCCCATCCCATCTCCTAGGAGATATTATCTCCAGGGAAAATAAGTAGGTGAGAAGTCAAACGTCCCTTTCCAGACGCCTCCGCTTCTCCTTCTTATGTCAGCACTAGAGTAAATGCAGCTTGAAGTGCTGACACATGTCTTCTGGTGACTGCCACACACGTGCATGCGCCGATCAACTGGCTGGCACGCATGCATACGCCACAAAACGGACGACCAGCTCTTCCGGTTTCCGGCACTGCCACATGTGCAAAGGCCAGCTGATTTTTTTAAAAATTTGATTTATATGATTGTCACATGTGCATGCACGCCAGAAACCTGGAAGAGGAACGGGTGACACCACGTGTGCCAAGCGACATGGCTCCACATGCCACTTCGGGCACACGTGCCATAGGTTCACCATCACGGCCCTATACTATTTCAGACAAGTGGTTGTCCAATCTCTTGTTCAAAAGCTCCAATGTTGGAGCATCCACAACTTCTGGAGGCAAGTCTGATTAATTCTGTATGGCTGTAATTTTGTTGCTTGGATTCTTATGATTTATATTGATATTGTTTCCTGATTGCTTATTTGTACCCTCTGACTATCATTAAGTGTTGTACCTTATGATTCTTGATGAACATATCTTGTCTTTTTATGTACTCCGAGAGCGTATGCACCAAAGACAAATTCCTTGTGTGAACAATCACACTTGGCCAATAAAGAATTCTGTTCTATTCTATTCTATTCTATTCTATTCTATTCTATTCTATTCTATTTCTATTCTATTCCATATTTTCTATTCTATTCTATTCCATATTTCCTATTCTATTCTATTCTATTCTATTCTATTCTATTCTATTCTATTCTATTCTATTCCATTCCATTCCATTCCATTCTATTCTATTCCATATTTTCTATTCCATTCCATTCCATTCCATTCTATTCTATTCCATATTTTCTATTCCATTCCATTCCATTCCATTCCATTCCATTCCATTCCATTCTATTCCATATTTTCTATTCCATTCCATTCCATTCCATTCCATATTCTATTCTATTCTATTCTATTCTATTCTATTCTATTCTATTCTATTCTATTCTATTCTATTCCATTCCATTCCATTCCATTCCATTCCATTCCATATTCTATTCTATTCTATTCTATTCTATTCTATTCTATTCTATTCTATTCTATTCTCTATTCTATTCTATTCTATTCTATTCTATTCTATTCTATTCTATTCCATATTTTCTATTCTATTCTATTCCATATTTCCTATTCTATTCTATTCTATTCTATTCTATTCTATTCTATTCTATTCTATTCTATTCCATTCCATTCCATTCCATTCTATTCTATTCCATATTTTCTATTCCATTCCATTCCATTCCATTCTATTCTATTCCATATTTTCTATTCCATTCCATTCCATTCCATTCCATTCCATTCCATTCCATTCTATTCCATATTTTCTATTCCATTCCATTCCATTCCATTCCATATTCTATTCTATTCTATTCTATTCTATTCTATTCTATTCTATTCTATTCTATTCTATTCTATTCCATTCCATTCCATTCCATTCCATTCTTTTAACTGTCAGGAAATTTCTCCTTAGTTCTAGGTTGCGTCTCTCCTTGATTAGTTTCTATCTTTTGCTTCTTTGTCCTGCCTTCAGGGGCTTTGGAGAATATGTTGCCCCTTCTTCTTTGGGGCAACCGCTCAAATATTGGAAGATTGCTATCTTGTCCCCCCTAGTTCTTCTCTTCACTAGACTAGCCATGCCCAGTTCCTGCAGCCCTTCTTCGTATGTTTTAGTCTCCAGGCCTTTGATCATCTTAGTTGCTCTTAGGAGCCGGCACGGAAGACACACGGGCCCGGATGGAAGGCGGCCTTTTCTGCAGCATCCCCCTCCCCTCTTTGGATCGCCCTGCAGGGGGACGGCTCTGCCTTTGCCAAAACGGGGCAGGCGGTTTGTACGGAGGATTGGCGGAGGGGATGCGTGGCCCTCCGGGATGGAAAGCGGGGCAAGAGAAGGCTCCAAGGTTCGCTTGGGCAGTTAAGGCAGATGGGCGGAGGGAAACTCAAAGCAATGGGTGCTTCAGAATGTGCAGCTCCTGGCTCTAACAGTGAGTGACATGAGTGATGTCAAGTTGGCCACGCCCACCCGGTCACATGACCACCAAGCCACGCCCACCGAACCGGTAGGGAGAATTTTTGGATTTCACCAATGGTTAGGAGTTTTGTGGCCTCCAAGGCTTCTGTGATAAAGCTTCACATCGCATGGGGCTTCTCTTCATAAACAACGCTGAAACAAATTTGTCGCACGATGCAAGGAGACGTTTATTAATTTAGAATTCATTTTATCCTTCAATGGTTATAGGTTTTGGGTCACTCATGAAGCCCATGAAATGCCGGCTCTCGGACACCTTAATAAAATTGTGGTTTTCGTCATTCGCCAGGTGCATCAGTCGCAGAAGGAGATCTCCGGCTGAGCCATCCAGCACGGTCAAATTCTTTTCCGGAGACGTCCGTCCTTTCTCGCCGTTCTAATTTCAGCACTGAGTTGAAGCGAAGCAAGTCACTGTAAAAGGATGCAAAGGAGAAGAAACCATTGAGTCAGTCCCAGACAGGGTTGTGGCCCGTCAGCGGCCTGTGCAGCTAGTAGCTGATTCTGACAGCGAGGAGGCTGGTGTGGTGCTTTGCCAGCAGCCTGTGCAGCTGGCGCTCGAGTCAGACAATGAGGAGGCTGGAGAAGATGTGGTGCCAGAGGCAGGGATTCAGCCAGGGCCTTCAGAACCTCTAGAAGCTTCCATGGGTGAAGAGGAAGAAGAGGAGGAGCCTCTTCTCGATGCATGGGCGCGCAGAGCTGCCAAAAGGCAGGAGTGGTTCCTCAGGAGGAGGTCTCCTCGAGAGTAAGGCTTGGGGCTAATTGGCCACTCCCTTAGCCTATTTAAGGAAGGATGACGACTGAGGCAATTTGCAGGGAACAACTTCGTTCACTCTCCTTCGCGTCTTGATCTTAGTTCTCTGCAAATTGCTTCTGGGCTTTCTGCCAACCATAGTAAGATTACGATTATTTATTCTTTGGATTCTTGTAGGCTGTTAAGAAAGTTAATTAACAGCCTTTGTTTGAAAAAGACTGATTTAATTTAGTAAACTAAGGTTTGTACAGACTTTGTGTGTGCTGCGTTCTTTGGGGTCTGTAGCTGGGGCAGAACAGATAGGTAGGGAAAGTGGCTAAAGATTTTCCTAGCTCTTTGTTTGTGGGGTTTTAGCAGCAACTCACTCTGGATGGGGTTAGGATGGTGCCCAACCCATGAGTCAAAGAGGAAGGGGGTCAATCTATTTTCCAAACACCAGAAGGCAGGACAAGAAACAATGGATGGAAACAAATCAAGAAACCTGGAGTAAGGAGAAATTTCCTAACAGTGAGGACAATTAACCAGTGGAACGGCTTGCCACTAGAAATTGTGGGTGCTCCATCACTAGAGGTTTTAAAGAAGAGATTGGGCAACCATTTGTCTGGAATGATATAGGGCTGTGATGGTGGCATGTGGAGCCATATCGGTGGGCACGCGAGCTGAGCTCCGGCTGTTTCCTGCCTTTGGAGGGCCTGGTGGGAGTGGAGAAGGCCTGTTTTTCGTTCTCCTCAGGCTCCAGAGCCTTTCTAGGAGCCTGGGGAGGGTGAAAATGGTGGTAGGGCTTCAGCACCCCTCAACATAACATTTGGCTGAGGATAAATGCGATTAAATTTTCTACAACGTGTCTGATATTTATTTTTCTCTTCATTTTCCCTCCCCCGCCTCTGGTTCCCCCCTCCTATAAATACCATCAGTGCAGCAAACGCCAGTGTGTCCGCATCGACCGTTCCCATTGCAGATGAACCTACTACCCTCACAGGGAATAGGGTCCAAGTTCTCATCCAGGCAACGGGCACTCCAATAGCAGCCATACTCTCTTAAACAACAAATGTGGGGTCCGAAGCAGGTCCCTTTGTTGCCAGGGCCACAGGACATACACTAAAAGAGAGATGAAAATAAAATGATTAACATCTGGAGGTATCACCAGAAAAAAACCACTTAATCTCTACCCTGGTGTAGCTGACAAAGCGAGGAGAGCCCATGGTTTAGAGGTTAATACATCTACCTAATATGTAAGTAGCTCGGGTTCGAATATGGCTAGCTGACGAGAGCTAAATAGCTTGAAATGGAACTATACTAATGTAAAGGTAAAGGTTCCCCTCGCACATATGTGCTAGTCGTTCCAGACTCTAGGGGGCGGTGCTCATCACCGTTTCAAAGCCGAAGAGCCAGTGCTGTCCGAAGATGTCTCCGTGGTCATGTGGCCGGCACGACTCAATGCCAAGGTTTACCTTTCAGGCCACCATTGTGGCTTATGGAGAGAACTACCATCCTGCTGGAAATTAAATATTTGGTAACAGACAAGGAAAGGACAATGGGAAGGAAGGGAAGGCTATGGAAGGCTTAAGGAAGAAGGCTGGAAGGGTAAATGCAAAGAACCTGGGATTTTCTGGCTTACTCTTCGGACTTCTGTATAGGGAGCGGTCCGCTTTCCTCGTTTGGAACACGCCGGCAAGTAGCAGGCTGAAGACATGGCGAGAAGGCTGAAGAGAAACAACGAAAGGATCCCGGCAAGCATCTTAGGAAGGCTGGCAAACGGGCGCACCGGCTGTATTGCCTTCTGGCTGTTTGTATCTGACTCCTGGCTGCATCCCCTGCATATTTATATTGTTTGCATTGTCTTTTTGGAGCCCTGTAACGCTGTGTCCCCAACATGGTTACAGGTGGGGGGTTCTGCCTCTATCCCCTCCCTCCGCAGACCTCCCACCCGAAAGCCAGCCTCCGACCGCCACCTGTAACTGAGCCATTCAGTGCCATGAGCGGAGCTAATGGGTGGGACATAGAAAGCAAGGGACCAGCCAGGGAAATCGAGCGGAGCTAATGGGGGGTCAGGGAAGACAGGGGGCTAGTAGCAAAGCTAATGGGGCAGGGAAGGCAAGGGGCTAGCGAGGAGAAATTGTTGATCAAATCTGGGTCTCGGCTCATGCCCCGCGTGCACTATTAAGCAACAGGAAGATCATTTCATGAGGATTTATTGGGAACGTTCCAGTTCAAAAGCATTTGGTCCTACAAAGAGGGAAGCTGGAACTCAAAAGTTACAATCTTGTGTAATTCATCAAAGCAGGGGTGAAATGTAAAATGTGTTACTACTAGTTCTCTGGGCATGGCTTGGTGTGTGGGGGGGTAATGTGACTGGGTGGGCGTGGCCAACTTTTTTTCTTTTTAACTTTTCAAAGCATTTTTTCTAATGCTTTGAAAAGCCTCAGCTGGGATCGTCAGAGACTTTTCAAAGCATTTTTTTTTACCACCTCTTCGACCAAGAGGTTGCAGAAAAAAAAAGGCTTTGAAAAGCCTCTGAGGATCACAGCTGAGCCGCGCGATCATCAGAGGCTTTTTTTTTTTTTACTTTTAAAAGCATCTTTTCGCTGGAAGAGGTTGTAGAAAAAATGTTTTTAAAAGTTAAAAAAAAAAGCTTCTGATGATCGTGCGACTCAGCTGAGCATGGTGGGGGGGGGGGGCGCAGCTAACCCAGGTTAAAACTAACCATGGTTGGTTGCTGTGTGAATGCAACTGCTTGTTCTTTGACTGAATTAGGCCTGGGTTGTGTGAACACAGACAGCTGTCCTCTAGTTAAAACTCTGAGGATTGAGTGTGGAATGTGGACAAATCGATACAAAACAGTTCCCATTAATGTATTGCAAAGTGTGTCATATTATACATACTTCTCAGATAATGTGTTGAAGGGAAACAATAATAAGGATATAATTAATAATACTAGAATATGATATACTGGTATACTAGATTCTGTAACCATTAGGTTCCTGTAATACATATAAGCCTTTGTATTTGTATCACATATTATGCCTTTATATTTGTATCTCTTGTAACAAACATATTCTGTTATTAGGCCTGTAATGTATCTGGTATTTATCAAACATATGTTCCTGCCATTTGACCTGAACCCATATCAATCTTCTCCCTGTTTTTTTCTTGTGCCATCTAAGAGCATGGTACGTATCTCCAAGGGATAATTTACACCTCAGTCCTAATTTATGTTGATCTGGATAAACTCCTACTTTCCAGAGCCAGGGGGCTAAGTGGCCAATTGAGTAAACAAAGAAATGCTTAAAATAATACTAATTGGGGAAGTTTCTATTCCCCCTTTGCAGGGCAACAAGGAATACACAAACCTAAATTAGGAGGCCAAAGTTGGGTACTAAGCTGACGTCTCTGAGGGTATAAAAGGACGCCATACCTTCCCCAAGGTGTGGCTATCTCCTTGCATGCATTGTATCTGTATGTTCCGGATATAATTCCACCCAGTATTTTGTTTTTGGCCATAAATAAAATCTGTTTGTTTTTTTTTGCAAGCCTCGTCTTGAGTCTCTCTTTTGGCATTCTGGTGACTCAAGTGTATTTTGGGACCTTACAGTGTCATACTACACAGACTTCCTAGTTGGTAGAAAGTGGGGAACAATATATTGGCTTACAAGGCCGCATCTAAAACAGAGCTCCTAGTTGCATAGAGATGCTCGTTGCACAAGATGTTTTATAGATGGCATCTCCCCCCCCGCACGTCTGGCAAGGATGTTCCCCAATGCGAATCAGAACTGTTGGAAGTGTAAAATACAGAAGGGGACCTACTACCATATGTGGTGGTCATGCCCAAAGGCCAAAAAATTTTGGAAAACAATTCAAAATCAGCTGGAAGAAATCACCACCCAAAAAGTGCCCCTCAGACCGGAAACATATCTATTAGGAATACTGACAAAGGACTATAAAAAAGAGACACAATACTTGATAATACATATCCTGACCGCTGCTAGAATCACTTTCGCACAAATGTGGAAACTAGAGGACACGCCATCAGAGGAAAGAATAATAGAAAAAACAATGGAATGTGCGGAAATGGACAAACTTACCAAAGAGATACAGGGAAAAGAAGACTCAGACTATTATTTAACTTGGCAGAAATGGTACAACTGGTTAGATAAAAAGAACACGAAATAAGGGAATACCACCCAATGATACAAAAATAAGGAAATAAAATGAAATATCATTGTATAAACATTAATACATGATGAAAGATAAATATACATAGATATATGGATATATAATTACCGAAGTAGCTCTATTTTTAAAGTTCAAGCTGTAAGACTTGACCTCTCTGTATAGTTAGTTTATGTATAGTTTGTTTAAATGTCTACGTCTGTATATGTATGTTTGTTTATTAAATAAAAATTTTTAAAAAAGAGATGCTTGGAGTGAATTTTGCCTTTGAGTGACTTGTAGTCAAAAGGAGGACATGACAGCAGTCTTCCAATATCCGAGGGACTGCCACAGGTGGCACGCGAGACCATATTGCTGGGCACGCGAGCGTTGCCCTACCTCAGCTGCAGCGTGCATGCGTGCACCGGCTAGCTGATTTTCAGGCCTTCTGGGCCCACCGGAGGTCAGGAAACAGGCTGTTTCTAGCCTCTGGAGGACCTCCGGGGGGGGTGGGGAAGGCTGTTTTCGCCCTCCCCAGGCTCCTAGAAAGCCTCTGGAGCCCGAGGAGAGTGAAAAAACGGGCCTACTGGGCTCATCGCGTGCCAAAAGCGGGGGGGGGCGTTTATGGGTATGGGCACGTGCACGTGTGAGCCCCCCATGCTCCCACGCTTTTGGCACACAATGGCAAAAAGGTTAGCCATTACTGTTCTAGAAGCTTGTAGGTGACGGATATTAGATTTTAAAGAGAAAAAGAAAGTCGTAAGGTTACTTAAGAATGGATGAAGAGATAGACCAGATGTTAATTAATCTGGAAGGAATTCTTTGTCTTTCTGCAGATTGTGTAAGCTCTGGGCATCCTGTTATCGAAACATACTCCTGCTTGGAAAGGAAAGGTAGCTTATCTTACAGGTAGGGAATGTTATAATTTATTTATTTGTTTGTTTTAATTTGCATACCGCCCTTCTCCAGCAGGACTCAGGGCGGTGAACAGCCAGAATAAAACAGAACATACAAAATTTAAAAACAGTTTAAAAATAATTAAATATTTTTGGCCGCAATTTAAAACAACCCAATTAAAATCAATTAAATTTAACCAAAACAGTGGGGTCAAGCCAGCCCGGTTAGGTGAAATAAATAAGTTTTCAGGGCCCGACGAAAAATCCGGAGGTCTGTTATTGTACGTATCTCTGGGGGGAGGTTGTTCCAGAGGGCGGGCACTGCCACAGAGAAGGCTCTCCCCCTGGGGGTCGCCAGCCGACACTGTTTGGCGGACGGCACCCTGAGGAGTCCCTCTCTGTGCGAGCGTACTGGCCGGTGGGAGGCTATTGGCGGCAGAAGGCGGTCTCGTAAATACCCTGGCCCTAAGCCATGGAGCGCTTTAAAGATGGTCACCAACACCTTGAAGCGCACCCGGAAGACCACCGGGAGCCAGTGCAGCTCGCGCAGGAGAGGTGTCACATGGGAGCGCCCCGTCGCTCCCATAATCCCCCGCGCGGCCGCATTCTGGATCAACTGGAGCCTCCGGGTGCACCCCAGGGGGAGCCCCATGTAGAGAGCATTGCAGTAGTCCAGATGGGAGGTTATGAGTGCCTGAGTGACCGTGCGTAGGGAGTCCCGATCTAGAAAGGGATGGAACTGGCGTATCAGGCGAACCTGATAAAAAGCCCCCCTGGCTTTTTGTATCAACAGTATCAACAGTAGAGGTAGTCCCTGACTTACAACAATTCATTTAGTGACCGTTCAAAGTTACAATGGCACTGGAAAAAAGTGACCTAGGAAAGTGATGCGTTTCAAATTTTTTTACTACCAGTTCTGTGGGTGTGGCTTGGTGGGCGTGGCAGGGGAAGGATACTATAAAATCTCCATTCCCACCCCAATCCAGGGGAAGGATACTACAAAATCCCCATTCCCTCCTGATCAGCTGGGACTCGGGAAGCAGAGAATAGATGGGGGCGGGGCCAGTCAGAATTTTTACTACCGGTTCTCCGAACTACTCAAAATCTCAGCTACCGGTTCTCCAGGATTGGTCAGAACCTGCTGAAACCCACCTCTGACCTAGGACCATTTTTCACGCTTATAACCATTGTGGCATCCCCATGGTCACATGATCGAAATTCGGAGGCGTGGCAACTGGTTCAGATTTATGACGGTTGCAGTGTCTCGGGATCCTGTGATCTCCTTTCGCGACGTTGTGGCCAGCAAAATCAACGAGCAAGTCAGATTCACTTAACAACCGTGACATTTAACTTACCATCTGCATTTAACACGTGTCTCACTTAGCAACAAAAATTTTGGGCACAGTTGTGATCGTCAGTGGAGGACTTCCTGTAACAGGTTTGTATTTATTTTTATCTGGTTTTGGTTTTTTTTTTAAATCGAAAAGTGATGTTAAGGCAGAACGTAAAATGAAATTGGATATAAGAGTGAAATAATACGGGGTCAGCCTAGAGGATCTCTGAATGGCCCTTTAACTAGTAAATATAAGAGACAAATGCTGGGTTCAAAAAGTTAAAACGCAGAGTTAACACACTTTCTACAGTTGGAGAGTTCAAGAAGTCAAACCGCAGAGGTACTATGTTAAAATGCAGAACTAACCCACATGGAGCTTTCCTGCCTAAATAATAATAATAATAATAATATAATAATAATAATAATAATAATAATAATAATAATAATAATAATAATAATAATAATAATAATTTTATTTTTATTTTATACCGCCCTTCTCCCGAAGGACTCAGGGCGGTGTACAGCCTATTTAAAAACACAAGACAAAACATCAATTTAAAATTTAAAATTATTAAATAAATTTGGCTCCATTTAAACCCCAGAAATTTAAAATTCCCCAATTTAAAATTATCATGCCTGGCGGAACAACAGGGTCTTCAGTGCACAGCAAAATACAGGGAGGTCGGGGATCTTAGGAAAGAATAAGGGAGGGGGGTAGCTAAAGAGGCAGATTTCACATTTCCTGTTTTGTTACTATAAAGATACGTGTCTTAAACAAGGTCTTTGTTCAGAATGTAAAACAGAATGCATGTCTGAACCTTTTGGCCAAAATAAATAAAAGCTTTCTCTGATCTTTCTCTGGGCTGGCTTGAGTTAAATTTAAAATTGATTTTAAATTGGGTTGTTTTAATTTACCGCCAAAATATTTAATTATTTTAATACTGTTTTTTAAATTTTGTATGCTCTGTTTTTACTTTGGCTGTGCACCGCCCTGAGTCCTATTTGGAGAAGGGCGGTATAGAAATGGAAACAAATAAATAAATAAAATAAAATAAATCTTGAAATTCAATTCATTCATTTATTTTTCTGCAACAGAAGGAGATCTCCAGCTGAGCCATCCCGCACAGTCAAATTCCTTTCCGGAGACGTCCGTCCTTTCTCGCCGTTCTAATTTCAGCACTCAGTTGAAGCGAAGCAAGTCTCTGTAAAAGGATGCACAGGAGAAATAACCGTTGAATCAGTCCCAGACAGGTAGAGAAGATGGCTAAAGCTTTTCCTAGCTCTTGTTTGTGGGGTTTTAGCAGCAACTCATTCTGGGTGGGGTTAGGATGGCGCCCAACCCATTGAGTCAAAGACGAAGGGGGTCAACCTATTTTCCAAACACCAGAGGGCAGGACAAGAAACAATGGATGGAAACAAATCAAGGAGAGAAGCAACCTGGAATTAAGAAGAAAGTTCCTAACAGTGAGGACAATTAACCAGTGGAACAGCTTGCCACTAAAAAATGCGGGTGCTCCATCACTGGCGGTTTTAAAGAAGAGATTGGGCAACCATTTGTCTGGAATGATATAGGGCTTGCGATGGCGAACCTATGGCACGCGTGCCACAGGTGGCATATGGAGCTATATCGGTGGGCACGCGAGCTGAGCTCCGGCTGTTTCCTGCCTTTGGAGGGCTTGGTGGGGGTGGGGAAGGCCCATTTTTCGCTCTCCCCAGGTTCCAGAGCCTTTCTAGGAGCCTGGGGAGGGCGAAAATGGTGGGACCGGAAGTCGGCAAATGGGCCATTTCCGGCCTCCGGAGGGCCTCCGTGGGGGGCTGGGGAAGGCCGTTTTCACCCTCTCCAGGCTCCTAGAGTGGCTCTGGAGCCTGGGGAGAGCAAAAAAGGGGCCTACCAGGCCCACTGTGCCATCGCGTGCCAAAAGCGGGGGGACTACGGAGAGTCGTGCGTGCATGTGCAGGCTGCATAGAATTATAGGTGTGGGCATGCGCACACATGACCCCCCTCCGCACTGCCTCTGCTTTTGGCACACGATGGCAAAAAGGTGAGCCATCACTGATACAGGGTTTCCTGCTTGAGCAAGCGGCTGGACTAGAAGACTTCCAAAGTCCCTTCCAGCAATATTCTGACTGACTGGAAAATATTCCCCTCTGGATTTCTGGAAATTAAAGGTTTGGGAATAGGTCAGTTTTCCTCAGCCTTGACCACTTGAAGATGTGTGGACTTCAACTCCTTACGCCGGGCCCTCAAGACGCTTTTATTTCAACAAGACGGGCTGGCCTAATTTTTAATTTTTTAATTGTCGATTTTTAATTTTAAATGTCTAAATTGGGTAGTTTTATTTTGATTAGATATGGGCCAAACTATTTAATATTTTTTAAATTGTCTTTTAAATTTTATATTTGTGTGTTTTATGCTGGCTGTGCACCGCCCTGAGTCCCTTTGGGAGAAGGGCGGTATATAAATTAAATAAATAAATAAATAAATAAATAAATAAATAAATAAATAAAAAATAAATAAATAAACTCCCAGAATTCCCCAGCCACAATTTCTGGGAGTTGAAGTACACACATCTTCAAGGGATCAAAGGTTGTGAAACAATGAAATAGGTAATACTGTTTTTAATCCCTGCCCAGTGGGCAAAAGAAAACACCTCCCACTTCTATTACAGGAAGTTTGTTTATTGGACTTTTATAAGATTATGGAGAGCTGAGAAACCTGATCATGCAGTAGAAAAAAATGCTGATACAGGTAGTCCTCATTTAGTGACTGCTGTTGGTTGCAACAACTCGGTGATTAAACAAAATATATTTAATATATACAGAGAGAGAGGGAGAGAGAGAAAGAGAGAGAGGCTACAAAGATCGCTGGTTCTTGCCACCTCCTTTAGATAAATTTGTCAGTGGCGGAGAGTTCATGAATTGGAATAGACATGGTAACAGGTCAGCCAGTGGGGACTGTTTGGTGACTCAGACAGTTTGGAGCCTGGGCGTGGCTTAGCTTGACTGTTATCTATAAAAGAGTTGGTTTGTCCTTGTATTATTGCCTCTGTATGGTGAAATCCAGCAGGTTCTGACAGGTTCTGCAGAACTGGTAGCGGAAATTTTGAAACAAGATTTTGAAACAAAATCCTCCCTCGCAAAGCAGAAAGTTCCTTAAACATGCTCGGTTTTTATTTTCTAAGCTACTCTCTTCCCAGGACAGTGCATCCTTAAAAAGTTCTAACTGCCAGTCAACGACCTCACCTTATTTGATTCGAAGCCTCCCATCAGCTGGCAGCTGCTGCCTGAAACTGACTGGATCTTAATCAGAGTCACTCTGAAGACTTGTGTTGTTCTAAACGCCTGCGTTGCTTGGGAAATGAATTTTTAATCACTTCCTCTTTCTGAACAGTCACGATCGGAGGCCGTTGATAAACGAGGACTCCCTTTATAGAAGAGGATGGCTTTTAACGTGCTGAAATCTTTTCAGACGCCTCAAACTTTAACTCCCAGGGCTATCAGGAATTCTGGGAGTTGAAGTCCAACACACCTAGAGGGCATCTGCTTAGAGAACAGAATGCTTTAGGGCTTCAGCACCCCTCAACGTAACATTTGGCTGAGGATGAATGCGATTAAATTTTCTACAACGTGTCTGATATTTCTTTTTCTCTTCATTTTCCCTCCCCCGCCTCTGGTTCCCCCCTCCTATAAATACCATGAGTGCAGCAAACGCCAGTGTATCCGCATCGACCATTCCCATTGCAGACGACCCTACTACCCTCACAGGGAGTAGGGTCCAAGTTCTCTTCCGGGCAACGGACACTCCAGTCATTCTTGTAATAGCAGCCATGATCTCTTACACAACAAATCTCCGGCCCGAAGCAGGTCCCTCTGTTGTCAGGGCCACAGGACATACACTAAAAGAGAGATGAAAATAAAATGATTAACATCTGGAGGTATCACCGGGAAAAAAAACCACTTAATCTCTACCCTGGTGTAGCTGACAAAGCGAGGAGAGCCCATGGTTTAGAGGTTAATACATCTACCTAATATGTCAGTAGCTCGGGTCCGAATATGGCTAGCTGACAAGAGCTAAATAGCTTGAAATGGAACTATACTAATGTAAAGGTAAAGGTTCCTTTCGTACACATGTGGTAGTCGTCGTTCCTGACTCTAGGGGGCAGTGCTCATCTCCGTTTCAAAGCCGAAGAGCCAGTGCTGTCCGAAGACGTCTCCGTGGTCATGTGGTCGGCATGACTCAATGCCAAAGGTGCACGGAACGCTGTTCCCTTCCCACCAAAGGTGGTCCCTATTTTTCTACCTGCATTTTTTACGTGCTTTCGGACTGCTAGGTTGGCAGAAGCTGGGACAAGGAACGGGAGCTCAGCCCGTTACGCGGCACTAGGGATTCGAACCGCTGAACTGCCGAACTTTCGATCGACAAGCTCAGCGTCTTAGCCACTGAGCCACCGCATCCATTTTTGGATCTCCCTTTATTTCTTTTAGGTAAATATAAATTCAACACAAAAATAGTTTGTCGCGAAAACGACTGCCTGCAAAGGGACCTTGGGCTGAAAGGCGAAAGTCAAAAGCCTGGTTTAGCTCAACAGACAGAAGCACTGTAATTTAACACCAGCTGTCTGCAATTACTGCAAGTTCGAATCTCACCAGGCTCAAGGTTGACTCAGCCTTCCATCCTTTCTAAGGTAGGTAAATTGAGGACCCAGTTTGTGGGGGCAATAAGCTGACTTTGTATAAATATACAAAAGTATGAAGGCTATTGCTTAACGCATTGTAAGCCGCCCTGAGTCTCCGGAGAAGGGTGGCATATAAATAAATAAATAAAAAAAAGGTTGCCCTGATAGACCAGTCTCACCTTTATCTGGAGGCATAGGTTCATGCTAAGCTGCCGTAGCTCCTTCCCATTTCTAAATCCCAAAACATTAAGGTAGACTTCAGCTCGACCTGGAGGTTCGCTAAATGGGCCAGCTCAGGAGCCCCATCTCCTGTGCAATTGTTCAAGACTCTTTCGAAAGCCAGGTGACCATCGAATGCTAGGCACACTTACACCCAAGAGTAAGTCTGAGGCACACCGCAGAGAAAGTAAAAGTAGTAAAAATGAAAAAATTGCAGGTGATTGGGAGAGCAACACACCCTTCAAAGGTTTAGTCTAGTAGGGGTTAAGACACCAGGCTGGAAAGCAGGACACGGTGAGTTCAAATCCTGCCATAGCCATGAAAACCCACTGGGTGACTTTGGCCCGATCACCAGGAGACTGTGAGTTCTAGCCTCATCTTAGCCATGAAAACTGGGCCAGCCACTCTCTTTCAGTCCAACCTACCTCACAGGGTTGTTGTTCTGGGGAAAAGAGGACAAGGAAGGTGTGTTGGATGGAAACTTGCATGGAGGGGGGGTTTACCATTCAGTCCAACAGTGTGGCTCATGGAGAGAGCTACCTGTCAAGTTTCCGAAAGATGCCCTCATTAATTCATGAGCCATGATCCAAACTTCAAAGGAAATATAGTCATTGATTAGGAGCAACATTCCGGCAATACTCGGACGCAGTTAGGACTGATCCCACGTAGATTTACGTTCCCCTATGACCCTGTCTCTCCCCTCCTCTCTGGCCATGTCATAAATCACATTCTCCAATTAACCACTTTGGCTGGCTGTGAAACCTAACACCCTCCTTCCGATTGCGGTCAGGAAGAATGTATGGAATGCACTTCAGTTCTCCCTCCCTCCTGCTCATGGCAACTTGAAAGCTTTGCAAGTTGACGCTACCACCCTGCTGGAAATTAAAATATTTGGTAACCTACAGACAAGGAAAGGACAATGAGAAGGAAGGGAAGGCTATGGAATTCTTCCTTAAGGAAGAAGGCTGGAAGGGTAAATGCAAAGAACCTGGAATTCTCTGGCTTACTATTCGGACTCCTGGGGTCCGCTTTCCTCGTTTGGAACATGCCGGCAAGTAGCAGGCTGAAGACATGGCGAGAAGGCTGAAGAGAAACACCAAAAGGATCCTGGCAGGCATTTTAGGAAGGCTGGCAAACGGGCGCACCGGCTGTCTTGCCTTCTGGCTGTTTGTATCTGACTCCTGGCTGCATCCCCTGCGTATTTATATTGTTCGCATTGAACAATATAATTGTTTGGAGCCCTGTAACGCTGTGTCCCCAACATGGTTACAGGTGGGGGGCTCTGCCTCTGTCCCCTCCCACCGCAGACCTCCTACCTGAAAGCCAACCTCTGACCGACACCCGTAACTGAGCCATTCAGTGCCATGAGCGGAGCTAATAGTGGGGACATAGAAGGCAAAGGACCAGCCAGGGAAATCGAGCGGAGCTAATGGGGGTCAGGGAAGACAGGGGGCTAGTAGCAAAGCTAATGGGGCGGGGAAGAAGAGGGGCTAGCGAGGAGAAATTGTTGACCAAATCTGGGTCTCGGCTCGTGCCCTACATGCACTATTAAGCAATCCAGGACAGGAAGATCATTTCATGAGGATTTATTGGGAACATTCCAGTTCAAAAGGTCCTACAAAGAGGAAATCTGGAACTCAAAAGTTACAACCTTTTGTAGTTTAACTCAACAAAGGTAAGTGCAAAGGTCACAACCCCCTAAGCCAACCGCACACAAAAAATACCCTGTTCCTGTTGTGTGAATTCAACCTGTTGGATTCCTTTTTTTTTTTTTTTTTTGGCCTCTCAGTTTGCAAGCTCAGAAGATAAGCTAATTCGGGCACCCCCTTAAATATGGGAATTCCCAGGAGTCCCAAATATCATCCTAGCTGAGAATTCTGGGAATTTTTTTTTTTTAAAAAAAATACTCCTGGAATATCTATGTTAAGTTGGTCAAGGTTGACTCAGCCTTCCATCCTTTCGAGGTAGGTAAAATGAGGACCCGGATTGTGGGGGCAATAAGCTGACTTTGTATAAAAAAGAACACCGCTTAGGGGGGGCCGAAAGCCCTACTAAGCAGGTATATACAAAAGCATGAAGGCTATTGCTTAAAAGCATTGTAAGCCGCCCTGAGTCTCCGGAGAAGGGCGGCATATAAATCAAACTAATAAATAAATAATAATAAATAAATAAATAATAAATAACCCAGGTTAAAACTAACCAAGGTTGGTTGCTGTGTGAATGCAACTGCTTGTTCTTTGACTTAATTAGGCCTGGGTTGTGTGAACACAGACAGCTGCCCTCCAGTTAAAACTCTGAGGATTGAGTGTAGAATGTGGACAATTCGATACGAAACAGTTCCCATTAATGTATTGTAAGGTGTGTCGTATTATACATACTTCCCAGTTAATGTGTCATACTACACAGACTTCCTAGTTGGTAGAAAGTGGGGAACAATATATTGGCTTACAAGGCCGCATCTAAAACAAAGCTCCTAGTTGCATAGAGATGCTTGGAGTGAATTTTGCCTTTGAGTGACTTGGAGTCAAAAGAAGGACATGACAGCAGTCTTCCAATATCTGAGGGACTGCCACGAACAAAAGGAAGGTTCCACCTATTATCCATAGCACAGGGGTGAAATGTAAAATCTGTTACTACCGGTTCTGTGGACGTGGCTTGGTGGGAGTAGGGGGTAATGTGACTGGGTGGGTGTGGGCAACTTTAAAAAAAAAAAAAAACTTTTCAAAGCATTTTTTCTAATGCTTTGAAAAGCCTCTGCCGATCAGGCAACTCAGCTGGGATGTCAGAGACTTTTCAAAGCATTTTTTTAACCACCTCTTCGGCCAAGAGGTTGCAGAAAAAAATGCTTTGAAAAGCCTCTGAGGATCCCAGCTGAGCTGCGTGATCGAGGCTTTTTTTTTTTTTTACTTTTAAAAGCATTTTTTCATTGGAAGAGGTTGTAGAAAAAATGCTTTTAAAAGTAAAAAAAAAAAAAGCCTCTGAAGATTGTGCAGCTCAGCTGAGCATGGTGGAGTGGGGGGGGGGGACGCAAGGATTTTTGCTACCGGTTCTCCGAACCACCCGCCACCATTGCTACCGGATCGGGCGATCCAGTCCGAACCGGGAGCATTTCACCCCTGCCTTAGTACCCAAAAGCAGGACAAGAAACAATAGATGGAAACTAAACTAATCAAGGAGGAAAACAACCCAGAACTAAGGAGAAATTTCCAAATGGGAGGAACAATTACTCAGTGGAACTACCTGCCACCAGAAGTTGTGGGTGCTCCATTCCTGGAGGTTTTTAAGAAGAGATTGGACAACCATTTTCTGAAATGGTAGACGGTTTCCTGCCTGAGCAGGAGGTTGGACTAGAAGACCTCCAAGGCCCCTTCCAACTCTGTTATTCTGTTCTTTTGTGTCTGGTTGTTTGTGTCAGAAGAAATCTAGCAAAGCTAATGGGATCAGGGAAGGAAGGGTACCAGCTAGGAGAAACTGAGCGGAGCTAATGGGGGGGACATAGAAGACAAGGGACCAGCCAGGGAAATTGAGCGGAGCTGATGGGGGTCAGGTAAGACAGGGGGCTAGTAGCAAAGCTAATGGGGCAGGGAAGGCAAGGGGCTAGCGAGGAGAAATTGATGACCAAATCTGGGTCTTGGCTCGTGCCCCGCATGCCCTATTAAGCAACCTGGGACAGGAAGATCATTTCATGAGGATTTATTGGGAACGTTCCAGTTCAAAAGCATTTGGCCCTACAAAGAGGGAACCTGGAACTCAAAAGTTACAATCTTTTGTAACTCATCAAAGGTAAGTACAAAGGAAAGTTTACCTGGAGAGGACAAAACCTGCCCCCTTTATAAAGACAGTCAGTTATATAAGCTAAATAGCAGAATAACAGAGTCGGAAGGGACCTTAGAGGTCTCCTAGTCCAACCCCCTGCTCAAGCAGAGAACTTTATACCATTTCAGAAGAGAGGTTCTCCAATCTCTTCTTAAAGTCCAAAGTTACCCTTAGATCAGGCGCCCAGCCAAGCTAGAGGCATCGGACGCCTTGGGACCAGCGCTCCTCTTTGGTGGAGGTCATGCGAGGACCCCTGCGGATGAGGAGGTTGGTCAGCAGACTCAGAGAGGGCACCCGGGGCCTCAAGAGCCTTGATAGTGCAGTGGTCTAAGCACCCTGTTATTAACACAAGCTGCCTGCAATTACTGCTGGTTCGAATCTCTCCAAGGCTCAAAGTTGACTCAGCCTTCCATCCTTTTTAAGGTAGGTGAAATGAGGACCCAGTTTGGGGGGGCAATAAGCTGACTTTGTATAAAATATACAAAAGAATGAAGGCTATTGCTTAACGCACTGTAAGCCGCCCTGAGTCTCCGGAGAAGACTCATCCCAGTGGGCGATGGTGTTAGCTGTTACAACAGTCTTGACGGGGAAGGCCACGGATTGGGTAGCTGATCTCCATAGTGACCACCTCAGGGAACTGGCGAATATGGGACTTTTCCTGGAGGCGTTGCGATCAAGGTTCAAAGACGAGTCCCGTGCACAATTGGCAGAAAGGGAGCTCGTGACACTTAAGCAGAAAGGTCGATCAGCAAAAGAGTATGTGCGCAAATTCCCTAAGATCGCCGGGAGGGTACAAGCGTGGCCAGAGTGCCTCCTGGTTCATCAATTCTGCATGGAGAGACCTTTGGCAAGCCTGTGTGTACCCCTCCCCCCACATCTGGCTGATTGGTTCCGGGCAGCTGTAGACTTAGACATTGGGCTGAGACAGTTCCGGTTGGGGAGGGACGGATGCCCAGGACGGCCAAGAAGTTTTGTGGATAGGCCACTACCTCCAAGGGAGGCAAGACCTGCTGTAGTGATCCCAAATGCTTCTGACCAGGCCAGGAGGCCGCTATTCCACTGTTTCAGGTGTAACCAGGTGGACAGCAGAGTGTCCAACGCAAACACCATGAACACCAGCCCTAAAACCACCTCCAACGGGGGGCAAGGACAGAGAACGGCCCCGAACGACGCCTGAACAATCCCGGGTAGCAACACAGATGCAGCCAGCAGACGCACAGACACCCACCAGGGAGGTTGGAGTTTCGCCAGGAACAGGGCAGTTCCTGGTGGTGTCCAGTGACAATGATGGTGAGGACCAGGAGGATCTGATGATGAGCGATCCCGTTCGTCCCTTCATGATACCTGTGACCATTCAGAACCCTCACACCTACCAAGGGATCAGACATGGTGCCCTGGTTGATTTGGGTTGCAAGCGGTGTCTAAGGAAGAGATAGTACAGGCCCTTATACCTTCTAGCCAGCCAGGAAACCCATTATGTGATGAACTGCGCAGTGCATTGCTCACTGACCCTTGATCGGCAGATAATAGGGCTCTATTAACCCACAGAGGAGGCCTGGCCTGGAAGGGGGACAAAATGTACATCCCCACAGTCCTCCAGACTACGGTGATGAAACGATGCCATGATGTCAAGCAGGTTGATCACTTCAGCTTCCTTAAGACGTTGCATCTTGCGAGGCAGCAGTTCTGGTAGCCCCGAATGCGGGCGGAGATCAAGAACTATGTAAAGAGCTGTCCGATGTGCACGTTAACCAAACCACGGCTGGGAAAACCACTCGGCCTCTTACAACCAGTGGCTGATCCTGGCCAACCATGGGATGAAAACGCCATTGATTTCATCATCAACCTCCCGAATAGCAGCGGTTATACAGTGATACGGACGGTGGTAGATCTGTTCTCGAAAAAGGCACACTTTGTGCCTTGCAGCGGTATACCATCAGCACGGTGGCTAGCGAACCTGTTTCTCCAACACATCTACCGCCTGAATGGGGTACCACGTCACATTGTCTCGGATAGGGGGGTGCAGTTTACCACCAGATTCTGGCAGGACTTCATATGGTTGATAGGATCTTCACAGGGATTAAGCTCGACATTCCACCCTATCACCAATGGAGTGGTTGAATGGACCAATGCCATGGTGGAATGCTATGTTATGTGTCATACCAGTAATCGGACTGGTCAGGCCTCCTACCATTTGCAGAAGTGACCTACATTAACGTGGTACATCACAGTTCTGGCCTCACCCCCTTCCAGTGGGTGAATGGTATGGAGTTCCCTAACCCCCAAACCCCAGGGACCCCGAGAGAATGGGCAGATAAGATATGGGGAGTCTGGCTTAAGGTAACACTGGCTTTACAGAAAGCTGCAGAGGAGTATAAACAGT